CCAAGGATGGTGCAATTGTGCATTGTTCAATTTCCATGAGTTTGGAGGGTCTCTGCAATTTGTGTTGTTGTTGAATTCTAACTTCAAAGCATGGTGATCTGATATGATTCATGAGGTTATTCCAAGTTTTTTGTACCTTTGGAGGTTTGCTATGTTTCTGATTATGTGGTCAATTTTAGCAAAGGTTCCATGTGGTGTTGAAAAGAAGGTATATTCTTTTGTACTTGTATGGAATGTTCTATAGATGTCTGTTAATCCCGACTGGGCCATAACTTCTTTTTCTTTTTTTAAGTTTCTGTCTGGTGGTCCTGTCTAGTGGTGAAAGTGGAGTGTTGAAGTCTCCTACTACCAGTGTGTGAGGTTTAAGTGATATTTGAGCTTTAGTAATGTTTCTTTGCAAATGTATATGCCTTTGCTTTGGGGGCATAGATATTCAGAATTGAGATTTTTATCTTGATGAACTTTTCTTGTGATAAGTATGAAATGCCCTTCTTCATCTCTTTTTATTGATTTTAATTTGAAGTCTAATTTGGTAGATGTTAGGATTGCTACACCAGCTTTTTTCTTGGGCCCGTTTGATTGGAAAATCTTTTCCCTACCCTTTACTCTGAGGTAATGTCTGTCTTTGACATTGAGATGAGTTTCTTGTATGAAGCAGAAGGATGGGTTCTGTCTTCGTATCCATTCTGTTATCCTAATTTTTTTTATACTGAAGTTGAGAGCATTGACATTGAGGGATATTAATGACCGTTGATTGTTGAATCTTGTATGTTTTGGATTTATTGGTGGTGGTGTTACTGTGTGTGGGTTTCCATCCCTTTTTCCTTTTGGTGTCTGGTAAAGTGGGATTATCTATTGCCTATGTTTTCGTGAGTGTACTTTGTTGGGTTATAGTTTTCTTTCCAGTACTTTCTGTATGACTGGATTTGTGGATATATATTATTTAAATCTGGTTTTCTCATGGAATATCTTGTTTTCTTCATCTATGGTAATTGAAAGCTTTGCTGTTACAGTAGTCTGGGCTGGCATCCATGGAGACTACTGTAACAGCAAAGAACATCTATCCAGGACCTTATGGCTTTTAAAGTTTCCATTGAGAAGACAGGTATAATTTAGATAGGTCTACTTTTATATGTTACTTGGCCTTTTTTTTGCTGTTCTTAATATTATTTCTTTATTCTCTAAGTTTGTTGTTTTGATTATTATGCAGCAAGGGGACTTCTTTTTATGGTCTAGTCTATTTGGTGTTCTGTAAGCTTCTTGTGCTTTCATAGGCACAACCTTCTATAGGTTGGGGAATTTTCTTCTAGATTTTGTTGAATATATTTTTGTACCTTTGAACTGTATTTCCTCACCTTCTTCTGTACCTATTATTCTTAGGTTTGGCCTTTTCATGGTGTCCCATATTTCTTGGATATTTTGTGTTAGGATTTTGGTGGACTTGAGATTTTCTTTGGTCGATGTCTGTATATCCTCTAATGAGTCTTCAACACCTGAGATTCTCTCTTCCATCTCTTGTATTCTATTGGTTATACTTACATATGTAGTTCCTGATTGTTTACCCAGATTTTTGATTTCCAGTGTCCCCTCATTCTGTGTTTTCTTTACTGCTTCTATTTCAGCTTTCAAGCCTGAACTGTTTGAGTTGTTTCTTTAACTTGTTTGTTTTTTTCTTGGTTTTCTTTAGCTTCCTTAAGAGATTTGTATATTTGTTGAAGTTTTGGTTTTTCTTCTATCTCATTTCCTCTTTGAGGGTCTCTATCATCTTCATAAAATAATTTTAAGGTCAGCTGCTTCTACTTTATTTGTGCTGTGCTTTTCAGGTCTTGCTGTTGTGGAGCCTCTAGATTCTTTTGGAGTCATATTGGGCTTTCTATTGCTGAGTGTGTTCTTATACTATTGTCTTCCCATCCCTTCTTGAGTAGGTGCAGGTGGGGTCTCTGTGTCTCCACTGGTCTCCTGGTAGGATATGTGGGCCAAGCCTTTAGCATCTGCAACTCAAGATGGTCTGGCTTCTCCTGGTATTCCTCACACCCAAGCAGAGCGAAGGGGCAGCCAAGAGTGGGGTGTGTCAGGAATCTCCTCCTTCCTGTCTGAAACAGAGCATGTCAGGTGTGGGGGGAGCCAAGAGTGGGGTGTGGCAGAACTCATGTCCTTCCTGTCTGGGCTGGTCCACTGGATGCAATTAGCAGACCCAGGAAGAATTAGGGAGGAGGTGATAGGCACAGATTGGGCCCTAGGAGGACGCAAGCTCACCTGAAGTGGGGCACTGCAGCTGTGGGGCGGAATGTTATTCTTTAGGATATTTAGGTGAAATAACAGACATATAGATAATGTAAAACTTTGTAGATCTTACAAGCGTCAGGAAAACAGTAGTTTCATAAAGATGTAAATAACAGAAACTAAGGGTTAGGCAGAGTTAGGAAGGCATTATTAGTTTGTGTGCTAAATTACCCACCCCCCAAAAAATCAATTGGCCTCAATATGCCAAGAAACTGTATTCACCAGTAGTCTTCACTGACAATTTTAAACATTGTGCTGTTTTTGTTATTAATATTTTTTCATTATAAATACAATGGTTTGATTTCATTGATGAGGCAGTTGGGAAAAGAGATCACTGTGTGCTGTGCACAAATCCCTGGAGACATCTCTGCATATTTCCAGTTCTATTGAAATGAAAACCTTAATAACACCAAGTAAAGAAGAGCTATTCCAAAACAGACTAAGCACTCGATCCCCTCAATGTTTTATAGTGTAGATCTCAGCTCATGTTCCACATGATCTTACTAAACCAAGCACACTCACATGCAAATATGATCATAGCAGAGCAAGCATAGTGATGGAATGTGTTCAAACTCATATGCAATAGCTCACATTATAGTCTGAGAAAATGAATCAATTTTATTTGAGAGTAACCTCATGGATGTAGAATGGTTTCTTTCATGGACACACCTGTACTTACTATTGATCAGATCAGAGAAGTATGGCTATGAGTCATGCATGATATAGATTCTGGTATGAATAGAAAGAACAGAAGCATCAGACACACGTAACAAAAGCAACCAGAATTCTGGGAGTCAGATGTGTCTAACAATAATAAGAATTCCCGTTTCATAGAGCAGATATGTTAGATCTCACCAACCATAAGAGTCCCTTCAGCATTGTCTATAACACTGAATAAAACTTGCTACTTCTGAGTCCTTGGGTTTGTAAAGCTAACATCTGATAATCTACTTTCACTGTTGCTGTTGGAAATATTTCAATCACACTGAACCTTTAGGAATTACATTAAGACTATGTAAGTGATTCAAGATTCTCATTTACTTTTTAGATTTATTTATGTTTTGTGTATGAGTGTTTTGCCTACAGGTATATATGCACACCTCTTGTGTGCCAGGGGAGGTCAGAAGCCAAGGTTAGACCCCTTAAAACTGGGGTTAGATATGGCTGTGAACCACCATGTGGAGATACTGGGAACCAAGCCTGGCTCCTCCTCAAGAGCAGCAAGTTCCCCTGTACCCTGAGACCTCCCTCCAACTCCCTGATTCAAGATGGAGAACACCTGTGGTGGAGACAGAAACTGTGAAATTTTTCTTTTCCTCACTTTTTTGACTGCTTTCAGGCTGATGGGGGAATTTGTAACACAGCTTCTGCAAGATGAAACCAAAGAAATGAGCATAAGCAAGAGTAATGAAGAGTCTAGCATTCTCAAAATGATCATATTCTCAACCAGCTCAGTCCACAGACATGAACAATTCTCAGTAATTCTAAAAAGCATCTGGATATCACTTTGTAAAACCCTTCATTTACACACACACACACACACACACACACACACACACACACACATGGCACAACTGGAGATGTTCAGCCTCTACCACACATCATTGTTACTTGATTCATCTCATTAGACATTATAAGATTTGACAGGAGCATATAAGAAGAAAAAGGTGTGGTGTGATTTTGAATCAGCTTGAAAACTGATCCTGTATTCAAATTGCTGGTAACTGCTGAGCTTTGCTAGTACTGAACTACAGGAATATGAAAATTCCATTTATCTCTTATAATTTAAGGCCTCCCACAAACTTTTGGTCAATGTTAATGGTAGTCAGAAAGGAGCCACATTTCCCTTAGGACTCCTTTTTGTCACTGGAAGTTTCTACCATACCATATCAGATCATGAGATCCCCACAGAGGGCACACCTGTCATTGAGCATGTGGACTCCAACAATCCCACTTACCTTTAGATTTGGTTTAGGGGACCACCTTCATTCCCATGTAAATTCTTTCATCCTTTGTGATTAAGCAGCTAAATTTTGTTTAATAATAGATGAAATTTGTAGGTAGATAATCTGTTTACTCTTTGCTTTGACACACGGTTTCAGGAACATGTTCTCTTTTACATTGGATATCTTTGCTGTGGGAATCAACACTTAGTGCATTACCTGTAGCTTTTGATGGAGCAAATACGTTCTCTCATTAATACTCTTTTTATTTATAACTGGATGTGAAATTCAACTCATATTTGTTTTGAAAATAACAATTGCCACAAGAATTCAATATGCAAAATGATGCACTGTAATTCCTATTTATCTTTAAAGTTTAAATAAACTCAAAAATAAATCATACCCTGCAGCCTAGAGTCAAAATAAGAACCCTCCCCACCCCCCAAAGAGAGATTTATTTATTTACTGCAGAATTATTTACAGTTAAATAATTGGGAGGACTTTTAATTAAGGATGCAGCTCAGGCAGGATTGCTTGTCAATTGTGAAATAAACAGATCTCAATGAGGATGGCACATGTAAGAAAAATCATCTCTTCCAAAGGTTGAATGACAGGAGATAACAGGCCTCACTTTCTGAGCCTGGGACTTGTATGATCTGCCTGAAAGTGATGTAAGCAGTCTGACTATGAGTTTTCATACTTCTGTTCAAACCAATATCCATTCAAAATTTCTTCCTAGAAGAATGCATATTGATCTGTGCTTCATTCTTTCAGGATTAAAAAAATAATGATTGCACATTTTATCTCACAAATGAGCCAGTGTTGCCATTTCAATGGATACATATCTAAGTAAGTAAATGCATTGCCAAGATATATTTGACTTATTTTTATATTTATTTAATGGGTGTTTGTGTGTATGTGTGTGTGTGTGTGTGTGTGAGAGAGAGAGAGAGAGAGAGAGAGAGAGAGAGAGAGAGAGAGAGAGAGAGAGAGAGAGAGTGAGAGAGAGAGAGAGCATGGAAGCCAGAGGACAAGTTGAAGGAATGAGTACTTTATAGCATATGGATAGGAAAGGATCTAAATCTGGTCAAGGCTAAAAGTCATACATCCTTACCCACTAAACCATTTCCTTATCCTCAAAATATGTTAAAAGTTACACAGAAACAATATTCTATATCCCAAATTTTTCTAGCAAGGAGTTTTCGGACTTTAATTTTGTGCTTTCATCTCAATTATAATAAAAGATTAGAACAAATTATAAAACATCCAAGTGAAAACAAACAGAATGTGATTTCAATGTTACTGTGATGTGTGCAGAGATCCCACACTCCTGAGAGTCGGAAGATACTCTTTGGAGTCGGTGCTATCTCAAGCTTGAGAAATGCTACCTAACCCTGAATACATAAATAAGCAGTAAAAGCATCATACATGTAGGCACTGTTACTGTTACATGTTCATGTACTTCTTAAACTCTCCCCTTCTTCTCTAGAGACATTTGGCACAATTGCTCATGAATAGGGAGGGGAATACCAATGTTTTAAAGAAATGTCAATAGCTTTGAATTCCAGCAGACCTACTTCATGTTTGAGTTTTGGATTCAGGGATTACTGATTGATTTTTCAACTCCCTAAACTGCTGGTGGCACTTAGGACTAAGGAAAAACAATGTAGATGCAAAAGTACAAAATAGTAGCTGCGTATTAATAAGTCACAGTTAAGATCCACTAAGGCTTTGCTGTATAATCCTCTACAGTTATGGAATAAAATGAAGCATAGCAGAGTCCCAGAAGAAATGTCTTTACTATGTCTCGTGTTCTCAAATACATGACTGTCAAGGAAGTAAAGAAAATATATGTTCAGCTGTTCACAGACATAGAAGAAAGCATTTTGAATTCAAGTAAAAAGAACAATTTTAATGTAAGCAGTTTCCAAACATTTGAAAAAATAGAAACACACAATAAGGGAGCACAAAGTCAAATCATCTCATTTCCAGAGTCACTTTCTGTCTTAGCAACACACAGCTGTTATACTGGGAATTATCCAATTGCACACAGACAGATCTCTCTCCATTCATTTGGATAATTCTGAATTCCTTTCAGAGGCGTATAAAGCCAGTTCAGAAATATAAAGACTCAATAATGGTCATCATAAGGGAAGATTCAACCAACCAGAACAGCTGCTCATTAGCAATGCCCCAAAACTACCTTCATCATCCATATGGCTCTTCCTAACATCATTGAAATGCAAATTGGACTAAAGTTATTTTAACCATAATATTAAAAAGGTTTATGAATAGTGCATTAAACATGAGAGACCTTGAAGTAAGTGAAAGATAAGGTGTTTGTGTGTGTGTATATGCGTGTGTGTGTGTGTGTGTGTGTGTGTGTGCACTTATGATCTTACCTGTCTGTTAACAAGTGAAACTATAAGGTCAGCAGAAATAACTGAGAAAACATGTAGTGTTTAGCTTCAAATTCAGCATTTTGTGAGGCTTCATTGGAAGAGCAAAATAGTCATTTCAGTGCTGGCTTAAATGTTGCAGAATCAGCAGAACGCAGTGTACGTGTGCCTGGACACCCTTCCTGACTATGCTCCTCCTATGCTTGTGGGCCCACGGCTCACTTCAGCAATCAGTTCCTTGGCTCCTCATCACCCTGGCATTTCACGTGGTACCAGGCCCTTGCAAGATTGTCAGCATATGTAGCAAGAATGAATATTATGTTGTAATTACTCTACTTTGAGAAAAGTATTCATTCCATTATTCTTTCAAATTAATTTTATCTAATCATGAATAAAAAAGAGTTCTAAGTGTTGGTTAAAGAACTTCATACATGAGCACTCTACCTGTATCATTCCCACCCCTCCCATACCCATCCACCCAGATTCATGGTCTCTTCTTTATTTATTATCATTACATGTATATACATATATAGACACGTGCATGTGTTCATGTAACATTGATGATATGTACATATACCTAGTACTAACCACTTGGGAGTTGGATAACCTATGATGGCCCCCAGAAAAAGACTAATTATCCCTCTCTCAGCAACCATTGACTTCATTTAGCTCTTTATCCAGGGCCTAGATCCGGGAAATTTCCTTGTCCATGTTGCTATTTCAGTTGGCATTGTCATTATGCTCTAATTCAGGCAACTATATTATTTCATGGGTACATTTTCCCCACCATGCCTAGGGGACATTATCTCACTATAGATGTCCTGAGCCTGTGGCTCTTAGGATCTTTCCACCACCTCTTCGATGATTTTCCCTGAGCCTTATGTGTAGCAGTTGCTGTGCGGATCTATTAGCTGGGGTTAAACATTCCATGGTCCATTTTTCCTTCTTGAGAGTTTTCTTAGGTAAACTTAGACAAAACATAATTTTGGGACTAAAGAATAATCAATTAGCCATTCAACCAAAATTATTATAATTGTAATTTGGTACTTTTGCGTGAGGGCTAGGTTCTGAGACTGGCAGACAAACAAGCATCCTGTAGATGACAGTCTACCAACCCCTCCTCTGACTCAGGAGGGATAGTCTTGCTACCCTTTCATTAGAGCAAACAGAGCTTGATTTGTGTAGTTCTGTTTTGGGTAAGGTAAGCTGAAGAGTAATGTTGTTAACATTCTACAGGAAAAGCTGTTAGAATCTTTAATCTATGAAAACAGCAGTTTTAATCAGACCACTAGCAGGTCCTCTGTGAATTAGACTGCGAACACACTGTGGGGGAGCAACTGAGACTTTCAGCAAAGAGAAAGCACAGCAGAAAGTATTGTCCTTCAAGGAGAAGGCAAACAGACCATTTTCAAGGCCCTACTCACCCCCAGAGAGAAAAAGGCATTGTTTTTCTGACTTGGAAACCACTCTTCATGGGGTGTGTTGTTTTCACCAGACTCTCTGGTGAAAGTACCTGGCAGAGACCACTTAACCCCTCTGTCCTAGTTGCTTTTGATATCACAACAAAATGTCTGACAGAAATGGCATGAAGGAAGAAGACTCATTTTGGTCATGTTATGATAAGGACAAGGGAGAACTTGGAGGGTTCCACGGCAGACAAGTGTGATCAAATATGTGAACGCATATGCCAGGCAGACAGAACATAAGTGAGAAGTTTTATTAGAAAGGGAAGAGGGGAGGAAAGAGCAAAGAGAGAGAGAGAACAGTAGAGATAGAAGAGATAAGGGAGAAGGAAAAGTCCTGTCTGCCCCAAAGAAAAAGAGAGGAAGAGAGAGTGTAAGTGGGCGGGGTCTGTCTTTTAAAGGGGTCCTTTGCACCTGCATGCAGACTATGCAACCACGGAATGCTGGGTTGACCAGTGTACTGCCTGAGTGCATTCTGCCAGGTGACAAGGGCAGGACAGCATAATGCCTGAATCCTTACAGGTCACAGTTTCAGAAAGTTCAGCCCAATGTTTCTTAGTTCCAGAGACTGGTACTGAACGTAATGGCGGTCACAGCCTAAGGAAGCTGCTGATATCATGGCAGTCAGAAAGAGAGAGCGAGGAGAGAATTAGAGATCAGGTAATGACTTTCAAAGGCATTGATGTCACATTCCACTAAGCCCCACTTTTTAGAATTTTCAGAACCTCTAAAGCCAATGCCAACTTATGTACTATGTGAGGACAATTCCAATTCAAACCTTAAGTGTGGTAGAAAGAGCACATGCATATTTTTATGTTTAGGATACTGTTTCATCAATGAGCTCATTCTAATAATTCTAGTTGAGTGAAAATTGTCTCTGAAGATTCCTGGGAGTCTTGCATTTTCAACTGCTTTCCAGCCAGCTAGTTCATTTAGAAATCTGTTTGCTCAAGGGCTCAGTAGCGATTCCGGTCCTTATTGATTTGGAGATGATCCATGCCAAACCTGTGGTATACAATTTTGTCATACTGCATCCCACTGTATCAAGCTTAGATAATTCTTGGTTTAAAGGTTTAGTTCTTGTTTGTGGCATAGGACTTAAACCTGAAAGAATAAGTCTGCCCAGACTGGGGACTAATATTCTCTCCAAGCCAAAGATGAGTGAACACTGATCTTTCAGTTCAATTCCAGAATTATTCAAAGTCTATTTTATTGTATATAAAAGAGTCTGAAATTTTTTTCTGTGATAAATCCATAGCCAAGATAATAAATCAATATTATTTGTAACTTCATAATACAAAGTAGAGAGTCATTGGAAATGAGCAGTAGTGATTATTGTTTTCTCCAATCAATTGACAGTTCATAAGGCAGACCATTTAGGCAAGGCTGTGGTAGACTAATGAAGTATACAGAAAACACAAGACAATCTTCCTGCAGAGACTTTACAAAAGTCTAATCCAAGGGAGACATTCAGAAAATAGTGCAGACCTGAAGGGCACCAGGAAAGGAAACTACTGGGTAAACTGGGGGGGGGGAGTAGAAGGGAGAGGATGGGGGATGGAAACATGAGATATCAGGAACACTGAGCTGGGGGAGGGATGGAGGGGGAGAGCAGTGAAAAGTATAACTTGATAGAAGGAGTTAGGGAGAAACCTGGTGCTAGGGAAATTCTCAGGAATCCGCAAGGATGACTCCTGCTAAGATTCTCAGCAATAGTGCAGAGACTGTTTGAACTGGCTTTCCCATTTAATTAGATTAGTGACTACCATAATAATCACCACAGACCCTACATCCACTAACTAATGGAAGCAGAGGCAGTGACCCACAGCCAAGCACTGGGCTGAGCTCCTGGAGTTCAGTTGAAGAGAGGGAGGAAGCATCATATGAACAATGGGGGCCAAGACCATGTTGGAGAAACCACAGAGACAGCTGAACTAAGCTAGAGGGAGCTCAGACTATTATGGACTGACAGCTGGGAACCCAGCATGGGACCAAACAAGACCCTCTGAAGGTGGGTGGCAGTTATGTGACTTGATAGCTTGGGTGATCCCTGACAGTAGCACCAGGACCTATCCCAGGGGCCTAAACTAGTTTTGGGGGGCCCATTCCCTATGGTGGGATACCTTGCTCAGCCTTGGTACCCGTGGGGGCAGGGAAAGCTTGGTCCAGCCTCAACTTGGTATGCCAGACTTTTTTTGACTCCCCAATGAAGGCCTTACCACCTATGAGGAGTGAATGGTGGTGGGAATGTTGGGAGGCACAGATCAGAGTAAAGGGAGGGAGGGGGAATGGGGAATAGCATGTAAAATGAAATTTTCTTAAATAAAAATATAATAATGAAGAATAGTCTGTATGGGGTGAAAATTTTAATATAATTCTATCTGCAAGTTGAAAAACAGGAAGCTAATCAAAACCATAAGAATCACATAAGAATATCATAAGAATCTCATAAGAATCTCATATTTAGAATTGTAAAACATTTACTAATCAAGTTCTGTAGAGGGAAGACTTTTCTCTGTTTTTTCCTATCCTACTTGACCAGTTTTCTCTACAACCAATGGGTCCCACAGTCACTTATGAAATAACCACTCAGAGGCTTAATATGTATTTATAATTGTTTGCCCAATGGCTTGGGCTTCTTACTGGCTAGCTCTCTCTTAAACTATTCTAACCCATGTCTATTCATCTGTGAATCACCAAATAGATGCGGCTTACCAGTGTTATCCTTGCATCTTGTTTCCCCTGTAGGTACATGGGGTCTCCCTGACTCTGCCTTCCTTCTCTCTGTATCTTTTTTTTCTTTTTTGGATTGCCCTCCTAGCTAAATTTTCTGTTCATTGACCGAAATAGCTTTATTCATTAACCAATAAAAGCATGGCATATTCGCAGCCTACAGAAGGACATCCCACATCAAAGTTCATTCCAAGAATCAAGCACTGAACTGTGCCATTATTCCTGGTTTTAGAGTTTCAACACTGTTTTACTAAAATTAGTATTAAAAATACTAATTTTAGTTACCTTCATTGTAACCTACCCCTATTTAATGACTAACAGACTTGTCAGTCACTACAATAAAATATTACTCAATAAAAGATTTTCATGATACACCATTATGATCATGTGGCTTTAAAATCTTATTAATCAACCTACAAATTGTACATGATCCACCTTAAAATTAAGAGAATAAAGACATTCTGCAATGAATAGTTGCAAATATCAACACAAAGTCTTCAAAAGACTTCACTGGATGTCAGTACCTCTGGGAAAGAATGAATGAAAAACCAGAAACTGATAAATGTAGATAAAATTAAAGTTCAGAATAAATATAATCATGTAAAACTATTTTACGTAACAGCATGAGGCATACATTGAAGGAATTAAATAATAAGTGCTTAAATCCTCCAACCAATATGAATTAGGATACTGGGTAAAATTTGCTATAACCAAAAGAGGAAGTTGGGCAATTTTAATGAAATGTGGTGTTCTAGTTAGCTGTAACTGTCAACTCAACACAGCTCAGAGTCAACTGAGAAGGAAATCAACTGAGACATGTCCCAGACCATATTGGACCATGGCATGACTGGAGATTGTATTCATTATTGATTGATACAACAGTCTACAGCTTACTGTGGGTGGCACCATTCCCTGGGAAGACAGTTCAGTGTAAGGCTATGAGGGAGCCAGTAAGCAGCATTCCTGTTTCATGTTCTTGCTGGATCTCCTGCCCTGACTTCCTCTAATCATGAACTATGAACTGGAATTGTAAGTCAAATAAACCTTCCCCTAAGTTGCAACAGAAAGGAAACTAGAATCTATAGATAGGTGAAAGCACTGCTATCATTCTAAAAATGAAGTATAATCGTAGACAAACATTCTAAGTCTTGCAGCATTGCCTAAAAACTGACAATTATCAAAGAAATCTAAGCCATGCCAGACAAATTTAGATAATGATTACTTGACATTAAATGTGTAGTATAATAATAGTTCAGGTACATAAAACACAATCCTAGTTTTAGTTGGCTGAGGCTAGAGAATCAATCATAAATTCAAGGTTAGTAAGGGCTACAATGACTTCTAGTCCAAAACAAATAAACAAAAATCTTAGTGTTTTCCAGCTAATAGGAAAAAAACACATGAAAGAGCATTCTCACCTTTTCTTTCAAGGTTTTAGACTGATAGAGAAGTTTGCATATGTCTCAGTCTCCCGTGGATTTTTATTTTCTGTAGAGTCATAGACAACTTAAAAATCTAGTATAAATTGTCACCCTTACCTCTGCCAACCACAAGTATGTCTTTACCAAATACCGTAGGTGTTCACAGGTAGCATATAGGTCCCTCTGTTCTACTTTGCTCTGGAATCATAGTCTGCCTATCAGTCCTAGATCTACAGGGCCCTCCACTAACTTGCCCTATGTCATGAGCAGTTCTATATCTTGGAGCATCCTATGATTTTTTCCTTTTTTAAAATTTAATTTAGTAACAAGCTTGTTTCACATGTCAATTAGAGCTCCCTCTCCCTCCCCTCTTCCCCATCCCTCCCCACCAGACTGCCCCCTAGGACCCCACCCAAACTCCACTCTGATCCTCAGGGACGGTGAGGCACTCCATGGTTGAAAAATGATTAGAATCTTATTTCCACTGACATCCCTCAAAAGAAAAACACCAAAGATAGTATTGTGAGCCATTGAAATGAAATCCAGGCTTACATAAGCAGAGTCTCTAAATAAATGCCTTTAATTTCATTATTGCTCGGGGTAACTTTGCTAATCAAAAGGAGCAGCATGCAAGCAAGCACACACACACACACACACACACACACACACACACACTGCTAAGTGAAGCCATTGTGGTATTCTTAGCAGTCTTAAATGTCAATTTGAAGAATAGGCTGCTTCTTCTGAAGCACTGTTATTTAAAATGGAGTGGACAGCAACATTGATGGATGATCAAGGCAGTCTTAGTCACACAAGGGGACTTTATGCTTCTGCAAGTGAGGAGGGAAATGTAGAATTTTTCCCTGTCATTCTCACACAGCTATGAAATGCTGTCAGCTATTCAAAATGCAAAAGTGTCTCACAAAATCTGAGAAGAGAATTCATTTTCCCCTTCCACCTGCATTGTTAAGAACTGCACGCATGGTGGGAAGTTCTCCAAATCTCTTTATTTCATCCCCCAATCTCTTGCATCCTTTTACTATGCAAACTGGTTCCTCCAACTACCTGTCAGAGAGACATCTGCTACCTTACAGACTCCAACACACAATGGTGTGTGTCATGATGTTGTTATTCAGT